GAATCCGAAGGTGTGTGCGTGCATTGACTCGGTAGACCGATATTTTGCTAGCTAAAAGTCAAATCAAATGCTCAGCGGTGTTGTATTGGAATAGGGGCATGTGTTCTGATAACATTCTACAGCTAGAGGTGTTTCCGAGGTCCGCCGCGCAACCAGCAAGGCAGCAAACAAATGCGGCAGCCCGGCCCCGCCGCCCCCTTCACGGCCGCGTCCCTCCACGAGCGCGTTCTCCGCCTCCACCAATGCGGCGGCAGCAGCCACCTCCTCCGCCGCGCCCACGCCGCCTCCCTTGTCTCCGGCGCCCTCGCCGCCTCCCTCCCGCTCGCAGGCGCGCTGCTTCTCTCGTACGCCGCGCTACCCGACATCCCGTCGGCGCGCCTCATCCTCCGCCACCACCCGCTCCGGCTCCGTTCCGCCTTCCTCTGGAACTCGCTCTCCCGCGCGCTCGCCTCCGCCGCCCTCCCCTGCGAGGCCCTGCGGGTGTACAACCGCATGGTCCGCTCCGGGGTGCGCCCGGACGACCGCACCTTCCCCTTCGCCCTCCACGCCGCCGCTGCCGCCGTTGCCGAGGCGCGGAGCACCCTGCCAAGGGCGCCGAGCTCCACGCCGCCGCTCTCCGGCGGGGTCTCCTCCTCGCGGACGTCTTCGCTGGGAACACGCTTGTCACGTTCTACGCGGCGTGCGGCCGCGCGGCCGACGCGCGCAGGGTGTTCGACGAGATGCCTGCGCGGGACATCGTCTCGTGGAACTCACTCGTGTCGGCATTGTTGACGAATGGGATGCTGGAGGATGCGAAGCGCGCAGTGGTGGGGATGATGAGGAGCGGGGTCCTGGTGAATGTCGCGAGTTTGGTGTCAGTCGTGCCTGCCTGTGGTACAGAGCGGGATGAGGGGTTTGGGTTGTGTGTCCATGGTTTGGTGTTGAAATCTGGACTTGACTCTATGGTGAACCTCGGGAATGCACTGGTGGATATGTATGGGAAATTTGGAGACTTGGAGTCATCAATGCGAGTGTTTAATGGAATGCAAGAGAAGAATGAGGTTTCTTGGAATTCTGCATTAGGTTGCTTTGCTCATGTAGGGTTTCAAGAAGATGTGCTGGAAATGTTTAGGGTAATGTCAGAACATGAAGTCACACCGGGATCTGTTACCTTATCAAGTTTGCTGCCTGCTTTGGTTGATCTTGGTTATTTTCATTTGGGGAAGGAGGTGCATGGGTACAGTATAAGGAGAGCAATGGAATCTGATATTTTCATTGCCAACTCACTGATGGATATGTATGCTAAGTTTGGTTGTTTGGAGAAAGCATCTGCTATCTTCGAAAATATTGAGGGACGAAATGTGGTCTCATGGAATGCAATGATTGCAAATCTTGCACAAAATGGAGCTGAGACTGAGGCTTTCAGGCTTGTCATCGAGATGCAGAAAAATGGGGAATGCCCAAATTCATTCACCCTAGTGAATCTGCTTCCAGCCTGTTCAAGGGTGGCCTCTGTAAAGATGGGGAAGCAGATCCATGCATGGTCAATCCGCAGAAGCTTGATGTCTGATCTGTTTGTATCAAATGCTCTGATTGATGTATATGCCAAGTGTGGGCAGCTGAGTTTGGCACAAGATATCTTTGACAGGTCAAAGAAGGACGATGTGTCATACAACACTTTGATCGTGGGTTACTCGCAGAGTCAATGCTGTTTTGAATCTCTTCATCTCTTTCAGCAGATGAGGTCTGCTGGAATCGAGTATGATGCTGTTTCCTTCATGGGTTGTCTCTCGGCATGTGCTAATCTTTCTGCATTTAAGCAAGGAAAAGAAATCCATGGTGTTTTAGTGAGGAGATTGTTAAACGCTCACCCTTTTCTGGCTAATTCGTTGCTAGACTTATACACTAAAGGTGGAATGCTTGATACTGCTTCAAAGATCTTCAATAGGATTACACGAAAGGATGTTGCTTCATGGAACACTATGATCTTGGGATATGGGATGCATGGTCAAATTGATGTTGCATTCAAATTGTTTGATTTAATGAAGGATGATGGCGTCGATTATGATCATGTATCTTATATTGCAGTATTGTCAGCATGTAGCCATGGTGGGCTTGTAGACAGAGGAAAGAAGTACTTCAGTCAAATGATCGCTCAAAATATTAAGCCACAGCAAATGCACTATGCTTGCATGGTAGATCTTCTTGGGCGTGCTGGACAACTGAGTGAATCTGTTGAAATAATCACAAACATGCCTTTTCCTGCGAATTCTGATGTTTGGGGAGCATTGCTTGGCTCTTGCCGTATACATGGAGACATTGAACTAGCACGACTGGCAGCAGAGCATTTGTTTGAGTTGAAGCCTGAGCACTCAGGCTACTATACTCTGCTGAGAAACATGTATTCTGAGTCTGGGATGTGGAATGAAGCAAATGAGATCAAGACATTAATGAAATCAAGGAAGGTGCAGAAAAATCCAGCCTATAGCTGGGTGCAGAGTGGCAACAAGCTACAAGCTTTTCTTGTTGGGGATGGATAGTAATTTTTGGATAATTTTGCATTAAATGACAGTGCCACAGATTTTGACGTGGTGCACCTATATGGTGGCATGAAATGAATTAACTGGATACAGAAATACCATGTATAGCATTGTCATATTTGTAACATCATCTAGCAATATTGCAGAACAAGGGTTTGCAATGACTTGCAGAAGACCATAATTCACGTAGATTTCAGTGACTAACTAAGACCATGATACTTGACATGATAAGAACTACAGTATAATACTTGGATATTACGTTACCATATCTTTCTTTATTCATGATACCAAGAAACAAAAGGATGGTAAGCATATATACTATTATGTTGGTATGCTCTATGAAAAAGGTAGACTAACCATAGTGGATCATGATCATGCTTCATACCATCAGAGTTTGTATTTGATCTTTAGAGAAGTACAATAGTTCCATATGTTATGATTTGGGTCTTACAGAACTTTTGGAATGTTAGTAGTTGTAGTTTGCTTACTGAAGCTTCTAGCTAGTGATTTTATTTCTTTGGCCTGATTGTAAGTACCTTCTTTCTTTGACTATTTATCATATAACTAGGTAATTTCTCAAGCCACGGTGTTTGTTGTCTGAAGGCAATATAAGCAAGAGGGAGAGCAATGTTTGCATTCTATCAAGGAGAAGAAATCGCAGGTCTAAGTTCAACTTGATGTCCAGAAAGGTGATGCATCCCTTATTGTCGGGGTTGATGGTTCAAGATAAGCTAGTCATGACACATTGTCAAATGTTCAGCAAGCTGGATGAACTGTTGGTGCAAAGAAAGCATTCTGGCACCCTACTCTGGAAATGTAGGAAAATCATAAATGTAAGGGTGTCTCGGTGCGATTTTGGTTTTCTCAAGATCTCATCACTTAGAAATTATTTTCTGTTTTTGATTGATGATGTGGATTTTGGGTTTTACTGAATTAGGAATGTGTGGAGACTCAAGCTGAAGATCAGGCTGTACAAAGATAATGGAGCAGCACACCATTACACGATAATGTGAGTGCAGCAAAATGAAAGCATTACACGGTTCTGATATTTGTACCCAGCTTTTATTAATACTTGATAAATATATATTTGCCTAGACTCCAATAGCGTGCTTTTCATATTGTTTGCACATATGATTTTCCTACTCAACAACACTCATTGCGCCTTGCTGAATTTTTTTTGGGATATTTAGCTATTTGTCACTCTTAAGAGTGGAGTACTCCAAAGTATCATCTTCTTCTGCAACTCCCAAATATTTAGCCTTACTAAGTCACATAATAGGATGATATTTGGGAGTGTGCCACTCTTAACAGTGGCAAAAAAAAGTTCAATATATCCTGTAAAAGGAGTACTTCTACATTCCAAAATGTAGGTCATTTTAGCTGTCCTAACTTCTAAGTCAAACTTCTCTAACTTTGACCAAATTTATAGAAAAATATATAACATCTATAGTACCAAATAAATGCATGCTTCATGGTGGATTTAAATCAGCTAATTTGGTGTTGTAGATGTTGCTGCCCTATCAAGATATATATTAAACAATGACACCATCTAGATCGAATTGAACAGATTTTCTTCTGCCCCTTATGGACGGTCGCATTCATGTGATGATAGGCAGTAGGGTGCCAACCCTTGCTGAATGATTGACCGTGAAATCCTAGACAAGGGATCCGAGGCAAAACTCAGCATGGGTTAACACCATTCTCTTTTCAAGGGAAATGGTAAGGAGAATGAGCCGTTTGATCCTCGTTTGCCTGTTTTCAAGTGCGTGGCAGGAACATATGGCCTGTGTGCCTACCAATTTTACATTGCTCGGGACTGCACTGTCGACGAGCCTTGCAAACGGCCGACCAGAGGTGGCGAAGACCCTGAAGATGATCCAGCAATGGAAGGTGACCCAGACAATGGATGTAATGCTAGCGGCATCATCTTGGTGTGCGAATGCAACTTTAAAGATCACCGATGTATATGATGTAGGCTACTTTTAGCTATAGAGTTAACTATTTGGCGATTTTAATAGGGGAGACTAATGTTCACTTCTTCTCAGGCTGTAGTTAGTGATGTAATGTAACCGGTATCACTGATTCTATCATTCTCTCAGGATTAACGAACAACATGCACCGAATACAGAGGTACAGAACCTGCAGTCATCTTTATCTGATTGTCCATGCACTGAAGACACAAAGGCAGCACTAAGCTAGCCACTTAACCAAGCACATATACACCAAGTGATCATACATACCAATCATACAACAAGCAGCCAGGGTTTTTATCAACAATCTCTCGCCTTACACTATTAACAACCGAGCTGGCAAACGAATAAAGCCCTGATTTCCCTGAATGCCTGACCTAGCCTCTGGGTCCAGCCTTTCTTAACAACCTTGTGTCCAGGGACAGACCTCAATCCTCAATGAGCAGAGAAGAATGGACAAGCTATGTGCAGCAGAGGCCATCGGTGGAGTGCAGAACCTGATGCCCGGATTCTATTCAGCAGTCTGAGAAGTTAGGATGGTCGGCTTCTTCAGCCAGTACTGCTCGAACCTCTGCCTCGCGTATTCCGTGTAGTCTAAGTCGATATCGTTGACATGGTGCTGCACCCAGAGGATGTGAGATTTAGATGAATGAATGGCGTACATACATTCTATTCTGGTTTGGAGGTAAGACGAACCCACCGAAATTATTCCCCAAAGGCCCCAGACTAGATGGCTGGCAAAGGGTGTACTTCTCAATGCTTTTGATCAGGTTCTCTACCTCCACTTCAGATTCCTCACCTGGTAGGGATCGCAGGGAATCAGAAAGAGAATTTATTTTCTAAAACTGATAAAGACATATTCCTAAAAACCGGTAAGGAGATAAACTAGAGGTTGGTATAAATCAATAAACATTAGATAACCTGAGGAGCTCAGGTGTGTCTGCACAAATTGCTTCCGCTCATCAGTATCTGTCGCAATATGAGCAGTAAGCAACGATGAGTGAACAAATATAGGCCCCATCAAGACATCGAGAAAAATAACAATGCACAAATCCATAGCTTCAAATATATTCAGTACCTGGATATTTATTGTAGTCCAATATGTGCGGCTTTTCTGAATGGTAGTTTGCGGCCATCTCACAGAAATGGTTTGCGATGTCATAGGCAACAGGGTTAAAACTTGCATACTCATAGTCCTGCAAAGGCGTTAAGCGAGAAATAAAGTAAGATAATAATAACAATATATGTTCCAACTATTCAGGATAAGTCAGATGGGATAGTCAGTTAAATTCAGAAACATATGACAGACTAAAAGCATGGAGACCAATACAGAAATGCAGAAACGACGTGTATGAGAAAACAGAATTAGTGAACCAAACATCTGCAGAGTAACAAGAATTTACAATAATGGTCAACAGTTTGGTCTCTTCATCAATCATGATATTTCCATACTGGAGATCATTATGGCAAAATCTTATGCGCTCGTATTCCCCTGAAAATTCATTCTCCAAGGCGGTGATCTCCTCCTCCATGCTATCCAAGCAAACTCTTTGGCTTCATCAGAGGAGTACAAGCTCTTGGCAGTTTTGAGCCAGTTCCTAGTGGAAACGAGGCACTGTTGCAATCAGTACTTCACTTTGATGATAAGTATTGTTTTACAGTATGCTACACCAGAACAGCTGTTTAGGAGATATTCCGCAGTACCTTAATCTTTCCCAAATGAGCACAGATTTTGAACCAGGCATGTGCAGGCTGTGAAATTCCCTCAATTTGGAGGCTATAATAGCTGAAATCTCTGGATCACGTAGATCAGAAGCTGAAAGTGTCTGAAAGGAGTAGTTATGTCAACTTCCTAAATTAAACAAAATGGGATCCACATCCTACTAGTACTAAGATATCCAATTCTTATGGTAACTACGAATTACAGTGCTGCAAGTTTTGTCTTTGTATTTAGCAAGGAGAAGGAACATGATGCTTTTTGTTTTTAAAATGGGACAAAGAAAAGGAAAACAAAGACCGAATAGTGATGCTTTAACCAATTTTCTACTCACACCTTTTCTCCTGAAAAAGACAATTAACTTCAACACTCTGACCAAGTCTTGTTGAGTAATTAACCAAAGTAGATACACAAAATCTTCGAGCGTTGACCTATTAGCGTCTCTGTGTCCTGAATTCTAAAGCAATTTCATAGATACAGCGCTACAAGTACCAAATACTATTAGCAGGAAGAAATGTCAACAAGTGACAACAGCATATCAGCCTTGCGAATCAGAATAAAATATTTCAATGTTTTCTGCCACGGCAAGTATCTCAAGGAAACAATTTGAAAAACGCAATGCAAATCTCAAGAAGAGTAGAAAAACTGTGGCACTGGTATTGAATTCTTTAGTTCATTATTGACTTCAGTCTTCAGGACTAAATGATCGTTTTCGGATAAGATTCTAAAGGCCAAACTGTTGAAAGTTATGGCAGAATACAGTTCATATGTACATCATAAGGGGAGGAAGGTGTCAAAGCAAGAGAACCTCACATCAACACGTTAGTTGAGAGCATGCTGGTAGAGGAATGTGTTTATTCATCCATTAAGAAGAAGTAATAAAATCTTTTCTGTTTGTTGAAACTTTAAACAATCTCCCTCGGCTCTTCCTATATAATAAATAAAGGAAAACCTTTTATGATGCTATTAGCGAATGGATCAACGGATCGCTTTAATATGATGAAGACTGCCATTTATAATTTCCAAGTTACCCAGCCAGGAAAAGGTCCGAAAGAAATTTTCAAAAAAAAAAAAAAAGGTACCGAAAGATTCCAAAGAACTAGAAGAGACAGATTCCTTCCGAAAAAGAGTTTTAGAAGTAATGTTAAACTAGTAGGATTTAAAAGAATGGTAGAAAACAAGAAGGATCGGTCCTAGAAGCAGTGAAGGAGACAAAACGAGTGATGATGATGAAGAAGAAGAATACAAAGAAGCGAAGAATGCGCACCCTGGCGTGGATGAACTCCTCGACGCGGCCGTTGGGGAAGCGGCCAAGGAGGCGGGGGCCGTGGCCGTGCTGCGACATGAACTCGAACGTGCGCACCTCGTCCTCCCTGTCAAAGAACAGGTCGACGCCCTCCCCGTACACCCGCACCAGCACGGTCCGCGCGTCCCTGCCCGCTTCGGCGCCGCCGCCGGCGGTGGCCCACCGCGCCTGGTACACCTCGTTGGTCATGGCGCCCTTGAGCGGCACCACCTCGGGCTCCAGCAGCCCGCACCCGGCCACGGCCACGTCGTCCCACGCCGCCGCCAGCTCGTGCAGCAGCCGCCGCGCCTCGTCCGGGATGCTCCGCGCAGTCGGCGGCGCCGCCTCTGCCGGACTCTGCTGCTGCTGCTGGCTCTGGTTCAGCGTCGGCGCCATGCCCCAGCCCGAATCAACAGAGCGGAGCGGCTCGGGATTGGACGGCGGAATCTTTGCTTTTCCTGAAACGGGAGGGATCTGGGTGTGAGGGTATCGGAGAGCGAGCCGTTCGTGCGCGCGCGTCCTTCGCCTGGCCTCTGGGCGGCGCGGCCACGCGGGTATAAATAGAGTTGTACAGGGTGGTGGATATTTTTTTTATTGTTCATATAAATTCCACCTTCTTGCAGTTGCGGGCTTGCAGATTTAGGTCATGTTTAGATGGGATTTTTTTTTCTTTGGTCTACTGTAGCACTTTCGTTTGTATTGGGTAAAAATTATCCAATTATAGACTATTTAGGCTTAAAAGATTCGTCTCGCCAATTACGGGCAAACTGTGCAATTAGTTATTCTTTTTACCTATATTTAATGCTTCATGCATGTGCCGCAAGATTTGATGTGACGAGAATCTTGAAAAATTTTAGATTTTGGGTGGGATCTAAACAGGACCTCAGTACACAACATGAAAAAATCTTGCTTGCTGGCAGTCAGCTACTTATTGCCAACGTTGTCAATGTCCCAATCCATATTCTAGAGTCTTAGGGCCTATTTGGTTGCTTCCCCTTCTCCTAAAATTCCTGTCACATCGAATGTTTGACACATAGATGGAGTATTAAATATAGAGTAATTATGAAATTAATTACACAACTTGCGACTAATTTACGAGACGAATCTTTTAAGCCTAATTTGTCTATGATTTGATAACGTGGTGCTACAATAAACATGTACTAATGATAGATTAATTAGGCTTAAAAAATTCGTCTCGAAAATTAGCCTCCATCTATATAATTAGTTTTATAATTAATTTATATTTAATGCTCCTTATTAGCCTCTAAATATTTGATGTGACATAAATTTTAGGAGCGACTAAAGAATCAAACACCCCATTAGGATACTAGATTTTTTACCAAGTGAGAAGGATAACGATCCTATCATGTATTTCAAAATTTATATAGAGTATAAAATACACGAGTGGTCTTTATTCGTTTAAAAAAAAGAACGAGTGGTCTTTAGACTCATATATCTCAATCCATGAACTCTCAAAATAGTAATTTTAGGTTGTCTTCGGGTATCATTCAGGTCTAGAACTCTTAACATTCTATTTTTAATCCTCAAACTTATCAGTGTGTGATCTACTTTCTCCGTCCCTAAATGTTTGTCGTTTTCGCTTCCCGAGAAACAACTTTGACTAAATAAATATTAAAAAATATTAATATTTATGATACAAAATTAATATCATTGGATAGATACTTGAATCTAGTTTTTTAATAAATTTATTTAGAGATAGAAATGTTGTACGTATTTTCTATAAATCGAGTCAAAGTTATCGACACGCAAATCGTGGCGACTAACATTTGGGGACGAAAAGAGTAGATCCAAATGAGCTCTAACTAGCTCGCATTGACATCTAGTGTTCCATTTATGTGCTCTCACTCTCTATTATCGCCTCTATCTACATGCTCTCCACGTTGTAATCTAGTGTGGCATATAGCTCTTTTATTTTAACAGAAAGAAATACAAAAAGAATTAGAAAGTAAAATGATTCTGTCGATGCGAAAAGCGACCAACAAGTAAATATTTATAATTTTATCATGTGTTATGATTGGATGTGGCCTAGCACTCGATAACATAGGGTTTATACTGGTTCAGACAACGTGCCCTACGTCTAGTTCCAGTCGGTTGGTGACTTTATTCCTAAGCCCAGGTGCTCGAAGTTTGTTGTGGTGTTACAAACGAGTGGCAATAGAAAGGGGGTGTTAAAGGTTCAGTCGGGCTCTGTCTCGAAGGGCCAGGAGTGACGGAAGCTCCAACGTGCGTTAAGTATTGAAACGTATGCTCTGTGTAGCTTTAGAGTTCTAGAGCTGTGGAGCGGTTCAAGTGCTCAGAATGTCTAAACTAAGCAGAGAGAGAGTCGGAATAACCATCCCGTGCTGGGAGAGAACGTATTCCCTTTTATAGGTGAAGGAGATGGCCTTACAAGTGAGAGAGAGAGTACGCACGTATGCTACTTAGTCTTGTTGCCCACGCTGTCGGGTACAAGGCGGTCATTGGTGCCCATAATACTGTTTATGCCAGACGCATGTAGCAGGCTTTATCGTGTTCGCCTAGTATGACAGATGACAGCGTCCACAACACTATAAGGCAAATGTCGACGTCCACAATACTGTTTGGGTTCTAACATGCCTTGAAGGTACTGTCCTGCAGGTGTGCAGGGTACGGTCCTTGAAAGGACCTAGGATGCCACCTAGAGGGGGGGTGAATAGACGTTTCTGAAAATTAACACCTTTAAATACGGAAACAATTAGAAAATAGAGTTTTCAAAATGGAAACTCTAAATTAAGAATAATACCACCCCTCACAAATTAGCCACAGAATAAACAAGGTATAAAGAATATATCTAGAAGTTACAACCCTGCAACACAAAGTTAGAACATAAAATAAATATTTTCAGCACAGGTAGAAAATACCGGACGTGTCCGGTATACACGAATTCTGTAGAACAGCCCAAAACTTGCTCCTTTCGATTTCTATCTTCGAGCCAAACTACAGGTACCTACTAGAGATGACAATATACACAGAGAACCTGCACAAGAGCTGGAGCAACACAAATATCAAATGAAATGCGAATTGAGACACGATATTTGTTTTACCGAAGTTCAAACTCGTTCGAGTCCTACTCTCCGTTAAGGGGGCTGCGGGCGACCCAACGAAGGTCAGCCCTAGAGGGTACCACGAAGGTCACTCTAGCCGAAGTCTTTTCCAACTCCTTTTTCTCCTTCCACTAGTTGATTTCGAGACGGCGGAATCGACCGTTACAAACTTTCCGAGGCACACCACAATCTCTCGGGTGCTCTCCGACGACGCCTAGCCGTCTAGGATCGAAGAATCTAAGAGTAACAAATACAATTCACGAGATTGACAATATGCATAAGTGCTCAAGTGGTTGGATTGCTGTCTTTTTGAATTTCACTCAACCCATAATTTGATTTGGCAAATTTGATCAAACACTCACTAAGAGAGGGTTGGGAGAGTTGACAAAACTTAAAAACGTGCTAGAGGATCAGCAGAATTAGCAACCTCCAAAGGTGGAGGCTTGGGGGTATTTATAGTCTCTTTGGAAAAACTAGCCGTTTTATAGACGTTGCCATACCAGACACGTCCAGTATGTATACCGGACACGTTCGGTATGACTTACACTGCCCCAACGGTAACTAAGTTACAGTGACAATGTGAGGCGTTGGAACTCCCGATGAATGCCGGAACTCCCGACCGTCGAAACTCCTGACTCACGTCAGAACTCTCGACCCTTAGCATATTTAAAAACTAAGTAACTGAGTTGAAGTTTGTGAGGTGTCGGAACTCCCGACGCATGTCGAGACTTTCGACCGTCGGAATTCCCGACTCACGTCAGAACTCTCGACCCTCAAGGCATTTGAAAACTAGCCGTTGGCCTCTGGTCGTCCATACCGGACATGTCCGGTATGACCAGGACAATGAACCATCTAAGTTAGTTAAGCGCGAGACGTCGAAACTCCCGACCATTATCGGAACTCCCGACCGTCGGAACTTTCGACTCACGTCGGAACTTCCGATGAACCAACTCGAGAACAACAAGAATTTTATCGTGGCTGGGCACATACCGGACACGTCCGGTATTGCCAGATCAACAAAACATAGGTTAGCTCTTTTGTCTCTCAAATACTCAAAACTCACATGGGTTGGCTTGAGCACTTATGAAACATTATCTATCAACATGATGCATCCCTCTTAATAGTACGACATTCCTATTAACTCAAATTTAAAAGTATAACAAATTTAAACCTTTTGAGTTGATCTCTTTCAACCGAAGCCGTGTATTCCAATCTTCATCAAGTGAGGGTGCCAATATGTCAACTTTGATCCTTTTCACTTGAGCATAGCCATCTTGAGCACGTGACTTGATTCCATTCATCAAACTTGAATAATTTCAAATGTATCAAGTCACTTCCATCAAACACTCCAATAGTGATTTGATCCTCCACATTAACATGACCATCATAGCTTGATTAGTACCTCAACTAAATGCAAGTACTTCCTTCTTCACCCTAGCTAGATTCTTCGGCCGCCAAGCCATTGCTTGCCCTTCACCTTTGCTTAGTACCTCGAAGCATTTCCTTGCTATCTTCACCATCTCAAGCCATCAAGTCACATCTTGTGTTGAATCATCAATTCATTTGTATTGTTATCTTTTTTATTTCAATTTAGCAAGCTTCAGATATGAGACCATTCCATGTGCAATCCCTCATGTCTTATTAATTAATTCTTACGAGCTTGCTTTCACATAGTATATGGTAATCCCACAATAAATAAGCCTTTACATGAATTCTATTTGCATTGTTGTCTTGTGCTTGAACTAGATTGTTTATACAATAACACATCATTTTGGCTTTCATTAAGTACCTGCGAGATAACCTATTACCTGTCCACACTTAGCAAATGAGTTAGACCTTTAATCATGTTGTCATTCAATCATCCAAAACCCACTAAAGGGCTAGATGCACTTTTAATCTCTCCCTTTTTGGTGATTGATGACAACTTGATTAAAGCTTACAAAAGAATATAAACATTTAAACTTTTGGGTTCAATGATTTATGAGAGGCTCCCCCTTAATATGTGCTTTTGATTAGAATTCACAAAATGACCTCAAATGTCAATTGCACATACTAAAACATATAGGAGACTCCCCCTAAATCATTGCATCCATGGGGTGCATGTGTGTGACAAAGTAAAACCGTGATGCATATGACAAGATATATCACACAAGAATAAATATAAATGCATCACATCAAATATTTTCATTCTAGCATACATAGTTCTTATGAAAATAAATATAACACATGTATTTCACACATAGCACTCATTACATGTTTTCTCAAGTCCACAAGCCACTAATATAATATAAATAAAAATCATGTCTCAAGAGA